ATCGTTGACGGTCTTGATTTCTACCTTCGTCACAGGTTCTGGTTGAAACCATGTTAGGGGAACAGACCCGAAGCTGATAGTAACTGCGTTCGCACCCACCTTCTTCTTATTAGGCTGCTTTGCAGTGATGATAGCGATGTTAATCAAGGCTTGGATTTTATCCTTGAGGGTGTAGCACATCTTGGTGGGGTGGTGGACCTGCCTGTGGAATACACAATATCTTGGATCCGTCGTCCTCTTGGCTTCCTCCTAGTCAATGATTGGAGGCAACTTGATTTTGTTATTATCCAGGAGGTATTCAAAAATAGCAGGAACTTTATCTTCCTTGAAGGAGTATTCCTTCGGCAATTTTGGTTCAGAAGCCTTCTGCTGCCTTTGAGGTCGCTGTTACCATTGAGATGGCGACTGTTGTGGTGCTTGCTGTTGCGATTACAGTTGGAACATTTGATTTGCGTTCATTGTATTTGTTGGCACCTTCCCCTTGCCACAAGGAATAAAGTTTTGCTTTAGGGTGTTAGTTGCTGGTTGACCTCTTTTGGCCTTCTTCCTTTTAAGGAAGCATCCAGCTTGCTCCCCGCGCACTTTTAATTCTTTCCAAGTCTTGGTTGGTACCACGACCATAGCTTCCAACACGTCCAAAGATAGATTAGTGTGTCACGTTTGGAGAATGAACTCCTCTATGACCGGATCTCGACAGTTCATCATCTTATTTCGGAAGTGCTTGACGAAGTTCTCGACCGATTCTCTATCCTTTTGCTTCTCATCAAAGAGTGTTCCGATTGACACTTTAGCATCATCATCAAAGAAGTTGGTGAGAAACATGCTCTCCGAGTTATCCCAGCTATTGATACTTTCGGGCTTGAGACAGTGGTATCAATCGAAGGCAGTTCCGCGAAGGGTGCTAATGAATGACCGGACCATTAATGGTTCATTACTGGAGATCACACTGAGGTGAGACTTGAGAAGTAAATCAGGTGTTGAGTGACTGACCCTCTTCCGTCAAATGGCGTGAAATTGATTACATTAAACTTTGTCGGATATAGGATCAACTCCCACTCTCTTGGATAGGAACACAGAATACCGATCTTCTTTACCTCTTAAGCAGTCATTGATAATCATATTTTATTACAATTTTATACCCTCATTATCTATTTTTTTATGAATAAATATACCACTAATCATTGTTTTTATCTTTTAATTGTAGGTTAATGAATAATAAATCTCAAACTCTCATCTCTCAATAAGGGCCCCTTGATTTAACACAAAAGCCCAAAGCCAAAAGCAAACGAATGAAGCCCATGAAGCCAAATAATTTTTTTCAATATTTAATGAAGCATTAAAGCCCAAAATGTCAAGAAAATGTCCAAAAGTCTAAGCCCAAAAGCCCAAGAAAAATAAATATACCATCAAGGAACAAATGAAGAAGTTTTGTGAAAAATGAAACAAATCATGCAATCTGGATATCTCGGTAATGTTTGGTATTTTGGCCATGTCTCTCTCGTATCAACTCGGAATTGGCTGAATAAACATTCTCTGGAAAGCTAAGAACGAGATCTACAACTTTTGTATTTATGACATCTTTGAAATCGGAACATATCATGGAAAAATATTCGTACAAAGAAGCACGATCTGAATTTCTATGCTGGAGAAGTAATTATGGAAAGAATTTGAAGGTTAATGAAGAATAAAGCTCAAGATCTCTTCTTTCAGCAAAAGCCCATTGAATTAGTGAATAAAACAAGCAAAAGGCCCAAGAATTCAAGCCCAAAAGCTCAAAGGCTAAAAATGATTCCTTAGGGCTTAAGTCTTCATCCAAGGGCTCTCATTCATTATTGTTTACTATAAATAGGGATAGAGAGTGAGGGGTTAAGGGTATGAAAATTTTTGTAACTCCTTTTGGAGAGGAGGGCTACTCTTAATTGAGAAGGCCTTCCAAAATTATTGTTAGACCCTAGAGGGGGGGTGATTAGGGTCTTATACTAATCTAATCCGATTATATGCCAATTAAAAATAATTAACAAGTTATCCTAGCAAGTATGAAATACCACAAGATATATTAGCTAGGATAAGCAATGTAAACAATGAGATATATCATATATGATAGAGATATATGCAAGGATATAAAAACTAACACAAGGGATAAACCATCTAAACAAGATAGTGGATAAAGTGAATGAGCAATGCACAATTGGCGATATAAAATAAATGCAAAAATAACTACGCCAAAGACAAACTCAAACAAGCGATATGATCACGGAGTTCGGACCTTCCGTCCTACGTCTCCGCTCCAACTCCCGGGGAAAAATCCACTAACTCAACCGGGTTTTCTACGTTCACCCGAATAACGTTTACACCTCACAGTATCGGTTTTCAACGCTCACCGATCAACGTCACTCCTCACACTCGGTTTCTAGCTCACCGAAAACCTCACTACACACTCACAATGTAACAAATATAAATTTGTTCTCTACAATAGATGAGAACACAATGAAGCACAACTCAATGTTACAATCTCTCACAACCCTAATATACTATGTATGCAAATACAATAAGCTCAAGTGGGTGTGTGTAACAATGAGATAATATAATCAAATCTAAACTTAATATAAAAACTAGCTTTAAAGAATGATAATCAAATAACTAAGCAAATGTAAAGCTAGATAGAGTTTAGAAAACTTCTCCAATAGATGACAAGATGGAGAGATGGAGATTGGAGCCCAAACAAGAAGATGATCTCCTCCACTTGTGAAAACAATCTTCAAACCAAACAAACACTAAAACACACTTAAACCCTTGTTTAAAACTCTTTAAACTTGTTTAAAACATTTCTTGAGTACATGAAAACTGAGGTCGACCGGTGCGGTCGACCGATGGAGCTTTCGGTCGATCGGACCGGTCGACCGACAGACTCTCTGTCACATGGTAAGAAATGAACAAATGATCGGTCGACCGGTACGGTCGACCGGAAACTGATATTCCAGGTTCTGAAAATTGTTTATCTGATTTTAAAACACTGTTTAAAAATATCAAATAAATTCCAAAAATGTAAAACTTTGGGGAATGATTGTAAATGTGATTTTAAACATGTTACAAAAAGAATTTTCCAATTTGCATTTCCCAATTGTGAAATCTTATTATTTTACAAAATCACATAAGTATGGACTTGTAAAAGCTTGATCTTGACAAAATGAGTTTAAACAAAGTTTTGAAAACTTTCCAATAAATTTATAAACTTGATAAAAGATATAAAATAATGTCGTTAAGTCTATAATCCAAAACGATGATAAACCAAACCAAACGTGTGTGTGTGTGTGATATTGAGCTTGAAGTATTAACACACATAATATAAGCCCTAAAGTAATTTACCCAAGCAATCTTGATTTTCAATAAGCTTTACTTGGTACACTCTGCGGATGAAGCTTGAACTTGGATCTTCAACTTGAATTACATAGGCTTCAACCACTATTCCGCCAACCTCCATTGGATATCATCGTTGAAGCTCTATTCCATCCATCCTCCAACAACGTTGTTTGTCTATAATAAATAAGAAAACACAAATACTAGACAAACAACATTAGTAGTAAATTGTTTGTAAATCATCATCAAAACAAGAAGGCCAACAATCTCCCCCTTTTTGATGATGACAAACAATTTACAAAAAGGATATTTGGATTGAGTCTGTTGTCGTGGAGTATTTCAACGATGTCCTGGATGCAACAAGTGGGATATTTGGATGACGTGGTGTCGGCTCGGTTTTGGTAGAAACGTTCGCCGAGGTGGAGAATTGAAGAAGTGGCGAACGCGACAAAGAACTAGTTTAGAAAGTCCAGAAAAACTACCAGACAGTATGGCGGTCGACCGCGAATCAAAAGAACTAGTTTAGAAAGTCCAGAAAAACTACCAGACAGTATGGCGGTCGACCGCGAATCAGCGGCGGTCGACCGTGAATCAGTGGCGGTCGACCGCGAACGTGCACAGAGTCAGGAAGAAGCTGGAGCTGAAGGCGGTCGACCGTCGCGGTCGACTGTGCGGACCCTGTAGGCGATTTGGTCTCTGGAGTTGGACTCGGTCGACCGCTGCGGTCGACCGCGGATACCCTGTAGGATTTTTTAAGTTCTTCGTTTGGTTCGGTCGACCACGCACTGTTTTGGGCTGGGCTTTAGGTTTTTCAACCTGTTTTGTTTTGAGTTGGTATATAACTCTAATCATGATTAATTAGGGTTAAGCAATGACGTTTTGAGCAGTTTTTGAGAGGGGATTGCTGCATCTAATTGTGGGAGATTTGTGAGAGATCTAGAGGCTTTGTTTTAGGGTTTAATTGGTAAGATTTGTAACCCTATTTGTATTCTCTTGATTTCTAATAGTAAGAACTCCCCTTCCTTACCCCGTAGACGTAGGAAACTTGCCGAACCATGTTAAATTCGTTGACTTATTGCGGTATAGTGTTTGGCTTATTTAGTTGTGATTTATCTCTTGTTCTTGTTTGTGTGTCTCGAGCTTCCGCCGCGCACAACTCGTACATTATTACTAAAATGTGCAGGTACTCCACAAAGTCAAAGTTTCTCTTTATTAACAAGTCAAATTAATAAAAATACTACATACATGTCATCCTACGGAGAAACGATACACTTAAGCCGCAAATAAGTTTGAATGGTATTTAAAGAAGAGACAACCAAGTGAAAGCGACATTTTACTTATGTGCCTTATATGGACGGCATGGGCATCATGCATGGTCGGTTGCAACTTTCAGTTATATCATATTAAAAGAGCCGTTGCTTGTTGTAGGGATGTGAAAATTTCAATTAAAGTATACATGTAACTTTTTATTTTGTTACTGTATGATTCTTTTTCCTACGACTTCTCTATCTTCATGCCTTGCTCGATATGTTCTTCTAAATCTTTTTTCCATCTGGAGTTTAGTCTAATCATTCTAATTTTTTCTGATAGTTAATTGTCTATTTACTAATATTATTAATCATCCATTTACAATTTCATTAATGTACGTTGTCTGTAATTCTATATATGCAATCTTTCTTTGATCCCTCGACATATTGATGGGGAGTAGAAAGATAGGATAGACTGACTATCTGGTGGTCCCTGGAGTTTGTTGGTCTGTTCTACTCATTGTGTGGAGAGAAAAATTGCAGAAGCTTGATGCATGCTGCACACTTTTTGGAATATATTTTGGGTCTTGTTTACTAGTCAGAATTAACGTGTATCACAAACTATTTCTCAAATGTTCATATTCACTTGTCAGAAAAACAGTACCCTGCTCCTTCACTCTCCTACTATAAAGAGGAGAATGTAGAGGTTTCTCCTCAAACTTTAGGATTGAATCTGAATTCTCCGCCATTAAAACTATGGCTTCAACTCTCCCAACATGCTTCGCATTGTCATTTCTCTCTTCTAAAGGGAGCCGAGGTTCGAGTCCTCGGTGTGAAACTGTGATGAGCTGCAGTTCTCAGGCATATTATCCTCAAATCATCCCTAGAATCCAGCAGCTAGGGTTATTGACTACTTCTGTCGTTAAAAAGGCAAGTACTATCAATTTACACTTTCTAACATATCTTTAGCAAAGATTGTTTGACCAATATATCTGCAAAAGAAGTAGCTTTTTTTCCTAGGAAAAGACAATGTTCTGTTTCTTTCCTTTTAGGGTATGTCGACTACTGTGTGAGGTATGTGTTTGTAGTCATTTTTCAGTTGAGGGGGGTATTTCCTTTAAATTTGAATATTGTATGCACGTTTGTGTGTATGTACATGCATGTTTGAGACATACATGTGCATGAACACATCAAATTTATGTATGTATGTATGTATGTATAAACACAGATATATATGTATTAACCTTTTTTCTTGCTTATTTTCAGGACTACTCACCTGTAAAGCACATGGAGAATATAGTAAGGTTGAAGAATATTCTGGTACAAGTAAATGGCCCATGGGAGTCCATGTTGACAGTTGATTACCTGCAAAAGCTAGGAATTGACTATCACTTTAAGGAGGAAATTAAGTTAATGTTGGAATGTTTGTATGAAAATATGTCTGGTAATGAGCACGAACAAGTTATCACTGATTTATTTGAGACTGCTCTGTCCTTCCGTTTGCTAAGACAAGCTGGGCACCCAATATGTTCTGGTAAATTTTCTGTTTGTGATATCGCGATAATCTTTAAACAAACTATATAATTAAGCTACTTAATTGTACATTGATTACATAATATGATCAATTTAACTAATTACTTTTACATACATTTAACAGATGTCTTAACCAAGTTCACAGACAAGAAGGGAAGATTTAAATCATCACTAAGAGGAGATGTTCAAGGACTATTGAGCTTATATGAAGCATCATACCTGAACACAGGCGAAGAGATTCTTGACGTGGCAAATGAGTTCTCGAGCATGCATCTTGCATGTTGTATCAAAGATTTGGAACCCAATGCTGCAAAGATGGTTAAGCACACACTACAACATCCGTGCCACATGACGATATCAAGGTATAATACAAGGCATTATCTAGACCATTGCCATACTGTATCTGGAATAAATATTGGGATGTTCGAAGAAGTTGCAAGAATGGATTTCAATCTACTTCAATCATTACACCAGAAAGAACTAATACAGATATTAAGGTAGGATTATCTGAAATTCTTTGAAAAAATCTGAGGCCTTATTCAATCTTTCTTTTATTATCGTGACGTGCTTTATGCTTTATTGGATTGTTTATTGTTTGAACATTTCATGATAGTTGGTGGAAAAGCACGGGTTTGTCAAAACATCTAAAGTTCGTACGAAAACAACCTTTGAAATGGTACATTACGTCCATGACAGTTCTCCATGATCCAGAATTCTCCAAATGCAGAATTGAGATGACAAAAGTTATCGCGTTTATATACATTATTGATGATATCTTTGATATCCATGGCTCTCCAGATGAACTTAACCTTTTCCTTGATGCTATAAGCAAGTATGCGATTTCCAAGTATGCACATCTCAATTTTAAATGCAAGTTTTTGGGGGGGAAAATATGCTAATGCTCGAGTTTATTTCAGATGGGAACTCTCAGCAGTAGACATACTTCCTACCTACATGAAGTGTTGTTACATAGCCTTGTACGACATCACTAATGAAATTGCCCAATCCGTACTCAAGGAACAAGGATGGAACCCTATCAACTCTCTTAAAAAAGCGGTAAGTACTTTAATGAGTAGACCTTAAAGCATTTATATTTGTTGATTTATAAATTTTAACATATATATTACCTCTCTCATCGGTCAGTGGACAAGGTTATGTAATGCATTTCTGTTGGAATCAAGGTGGCTACAATCAAATCAACTTCCAAAATCTGATGAGTACCTCAAAAATGCCATTGTGAGTTCAGGAGTACATGCAGTCTTGATGCATGCATTTTTCCTTTTAGGACAAGGGATTACAAAGGAAAACGTGAGTCTTTTAGAGAGGAATCCAACCCTCCTCTCTTGTCCTGCAACAATTCTTCGGCTTAGGGATGATCTTGGAAGTGCTAAGGTATGTAATAACGTATATGCATAATTTGGTATAGCAATTAATTGTTGGCATTGTAACTTACAGTTCTCTACGATCAAAATTTTAGGACGAACATCAAGATGGCTTTGATGGCTCATATGTTGAATGTTATATGAAAGAATATCCTGAGTGTTCTACTCAAGATGCAAGAGATTATGTCAAGCAAATGATCGCTAATACGTGGCGATGCTTCAATAAGGAATGCTTCTCACAAAACCCTTTTGCTCCAAATCTTGTGACTGCATGCCTAAATATTGCTCGCATGGTCGAAGTAATGTATAGTTATGACGAAAATGGAAATATTCCTAGTCTTGAAGATTACATTAGAGTACTGCTTTACAAAAGCATATAGTATATCCTTGTGTACAAGATTCAAACCTACTATATATATATACTAGTGTGTACCCCGTGCCAAGCACGGCCCCCGCCTCTTTTCTACAATTCGTTAATGTTGTTTGATCTCAATTTTATTTTTATACAAAATTATTCTTATAGCTAGCAACTATGAAGAACTTCAAATGAGTTGCAATTGGAAAATTGATGCCTAATAATATTGTATGGTGCAAATATAACAATACTACTCTAACAACTCACACATAATAGCCTAATATATAGAAACAAAACTCTACATTCAATATAACATATATTCATGAGTCAATCACTTGAGTGACAACCAATCATGAATTTTTACGAAGGAGTTATCTCTTGATGCATATTTTAGTTCATCATACAAAATAATGCAAACCATCCTCTTAACTATATCGTGTCTCAAAGACAAACATTATAATATCGTATATTTATCATTAGGGGGAAAAAGAAACAAAGCCAGTAAAAAGAAGAGAAATAAGAGCAAAACCTGAAATAGAACAATTGCAGGCTTAAATGGGGTCTTGGATTATTTAGGCGTGGAAATTTCCTACTCCGAGATCTTCTTAACGACCTTCTCAGTCACCTGAAAACCATAGAAGTTCCTTATCACTGATTCTAAGAGAAAAATTATAAAATATGAAACTGACCTGTCCAAAAAAATATTATCAAATATTAAAATTGACTACCATAAATCATCAACTAAGTATAATAATCTCTTTATTAATGTGTCTTTTCAAAGATTTGTTATTAATGTTAAAGAGAAATAAGTAGAAAATGAACAAAATTTTTACAGAGGAAATCTTCAGATCTGAGCACATATCAATAGTTTATTACTTTAGAGGAAATATTCAGATCTGAGCACATATTAATAGTTCATTCTCTCGCCAACTGCGGCAGAAGAAATCTTTATTTTCTCCTCAATAAAAGCCCTCCAAAATTTCTAAAAATGATCAGTAATTGTCATTGACGAAATTTAGAAACTTTAGTTTTTATCTTCATGGATATACCATCCCTAGCCATTATTAACCAAATTTCTAAAGATCAAATAACTACTCAAAACTAAACTAAAATAACACAATAAAGGTCAATTTTTTTAGTGCATCATTTCTGACGTAATCAATCTCCAATCCCTAACCCACGAACAAACAAACCCCATTATTTTTCACAAAGTGACAATAATGTATAGTGTAACCTTATCGCATTTGTAATAAGTTTTTGACTCTTGCTTCCTCACTATTGAAGTACACTTTTGTTGTTGTCGTTGATGAAACCATACTATAACCTATGTATCAATGCATACATACAAAGGTTAATGCATATTTATAGTTCTGAATGTTAAATATATAATAGACATTGATTTAAATTTTACCTCTAAAGTTTTTTACTAAAACCTCAGTCACCACCATAAGAACATTATTTGTATCATGATCTTTAAATTTGGAGTCAAAGTCGACTGCTACTTTATTCCATGATGTGACCATACACTCGTTATCCCTGTAAGAAACAATGATTCATATTAATAATAATTATGTCTATGAACTTCGCATTAAGTTATAATACAATCTTACTCTTCATCTATTAGTTTAATAGACCTACATGTGAGCATTTTCCCAGATTTGTGTACTCTCCAATCCGATAGACTTCCTTCACAATCCCTGCAATGTCTTTGATAGTATATTCATAATAACTTAGTATTCATGTATTAGTAATTATAAAACAAATAAGGCCACTATTATTACCTCTTAGGTAAGTATTCTTATTTTTATGTGAGTATAGTTCACTGAAAGGAACAAAGTTAATTTTTTATGTCTGATTGTCCCTTGACAGTGAGTGTCATATGCAGTTGAATATCAAATTATTAGTATGATCAAATATGCAGTTAAACACCATAGTTTTGCAGTCTGGAAGTATACCTATCGACCAAGGCGGCAAGTCATAGTGCATGTTACTGAATATTACTCGTGCATATGAATCAGTTTTGTAGTTTCAAGAAATGTTGCACATCCTCCTGCTTGAGAACTGAACACATGAGCCTGAAAGTATCAAGAGAAAAAACGAAAGTATTTTGTTATAGGGAGAACTTTGAAACATAATTTTATAGTTGAGTGCTAATGATTCATAATGGAAAGACCCGTTGAAATGTTCCCAATGAAGTAATAGTTGGATTAGCTGAAAGTAAAGCCTTTTCGCACAATTTAATTGCTCTGTGGAGTTCTTTCAGATGACCATATTTTGGCTCTCGAACTAATCCTAAGAGTTCAACATGAATATGTGAGCACCAACACTCAGTAAGGGGCAAAACAATCGTAAAATGTGTCAAATTCTCTAAGAAATCTATACTAACCTGAAAAGGATACATAAAATGTGATAATTCTATAGGAAACGTATCGCACATAGAAAGTTTTATAAAATTCATAAAATAATAAAGACTGAACAACAACTATAATGAACTCAAACAGATTAAAATTGATATCTGGTAGATTTCCCTCTTAGGCTGTTACCATATTCATCAATGAGAGCGTCATAATCATAGCTGGTCGTTATAAATGGACCCCCAGCAGTACGCCCAAAGTTGGTTCCTCCATGGTACTAATAAACAACAATATTACCTCCATTATTTATATTTCCATTTCAAGCATTCAAGAAAGAAAATTGATATGGTTTAGGTAATAACAATAGAAGTTCAAAAGGTATAAGTTTGAACCATATAATAATTGACAAAGGAGCCGCACTTCAAAATAAATCGTGTAACAGAAGATGCCAGATCCTCAACTGGACGCTCGTGAATAGTGCCTCCAAACTCTCTGAACCTGTAATTGCATTTTAAAGAAGCATGTAAATGAAGATAAAATCTCGAGACAGTTAAAGATTCTATTGCTAAAAATGCAAATAAGAATCCTCTCATAGTACACAACAATTTTGGAAACAATAAAAAAGCTATAGGAATAGGAGCAACTTACCAACTGCTCCAAGCTTCAGTCCACATTGAGGGTTTGTATGGCTTGTTGGGGGCAAAATCATCACAATAGAAGTCATTGCATGTATTAATCTATTACCAAATATGGTAAAATAATTTAAAAGCCAATATAATACCATATTGAATCAATCGTGGGAATAAGTCGTAAACCAAATAATAAGAAATGAAATTTGTCATGTGAAATATAACAGCTAAAGACGGCCATCATCCACCATTGAAAAAAGAGCAGGAAAAAACATATATAGTTGTTGGACATTATGTTACCGAGTGAATTTAATGAATTTGACACGTCAACATTTTGTCAGATGTAGACAGAAATAGTATATAATGAGATATATCGAGTGTGTAGACTTAAACAGGAACATCGAGATGCAAACATGAAGTATTCCTGGCAAAAGAAACCTCGAGATGGAGACACATATCAAAAATGAAAAAGATAGTGGGAGTGTTGGACTACGCTGAAGCATCATTTGGCCATTGCTTAACATTGACTCATTCAAAGTGTTGTGCCCAAGAAAGGAATAAGTAAAACAAATTTAGCTTATGGATTACAATTAGAAAGTTGGCCAACTAAGTAACGCTATAATAGCAATTCCTTTGCTTAGGACTTTTCCTTACACACATATTTTAAGCTATCTATAGAAAACAATAAGACAGAAAAGTTAAAATATTGTATTGAACATCAAGAAAGGAATGATTCTTATACCACTGGATCTGGAGCATCTTCTTTGCACATCACCCATAGGACTCCGGTGTCCATCTCTACAGCCATTTTGGCTGCCCAGTTCACATATGAGCAGCCCGCAGGCCCAAATGCTCTACTCTCAGGCCTATATTCATTCTCAATCTGCATCAAACGTTATCCAAATTAGCAATAAATAATCTCTTTCCAATAATGTTTCATTCTTCTTATTTGTTAGTTTTGTCATGGTTAAAGAGAATAATACCTGCGAGAGGATGATTGGACCCCACTTGAGACTCGAAAAGTGATTCATTCTTCATCATCTGAACTATTTTCTGGGTGAATCCTTGCATAGCATTCTGCATCATGAATAATCACCAAATCCATAGAAATTGTTGAATTAAAAATAATGGGTAATCAAATTATGAACGAAATTGAACAGGTTGGAGAAATATACCTTGAAAGGCTCATTGTCAGTTCTGAAGCTGATCCCAGGTAAAAACTTCAACCAAACAGGAAATCCTCTGCATATATAAATCAAAAGAAAAGAAAACCCATTAAATAGTTACACATTAAATTTCAAATTTTAAAAAAAATAAGAATAAAACAAATGGTACCCAAAATTATACCTCCCCTCAAAATTATACTGCAAAATTTAATCAAAAATCATACCTTTCTCAAGACCAATTGTTTTCCGATCTTCAGCCATTTGTTTTTAATAGCTTGTGACAAACTGATCTTAAAAATCTGACTGCCTACTATTTTCTGGAAAAAAAATCAAACAAAAAAGATAAATAAGCACAATCACCAAACAAAAATACTCAAAAATCTCAAAAATCTCAAAAATACTCAAAAATATAGTTTTCGATCATATTCTCTTGAGTCACACTTGCATCAAAATGAAAAAAATTAAATATCAGAAATTAATATGGTTCTTAAAGTCCCTCAATCGCTTTTTACTTGTGATCATTAACTTTCAAACATTTCCCAACATTCTCCCAATAAATTCTTAATAAAGAACCAAGGGAAAAAAACTAAAAATTCTTAATAAAAAATCTCACCTTACGCCGTCGTCGTCATCCTGAAAAGAATCAGGCTTTGACCCAAGCACCCAAGCTTCATAAACTTCATTGTGGCAGAAACTGAATCACTTAAGAGTCTAATTAGTATGAGCTCAAGGCTAACCTTTACTTATAACCACCTAACCAACAACTCAACCAAGTGGTTTCATGCATCTCGAGGTACTCCACAACACATTAATAACTCTTTTAGGTGAAGGCAAATAATAGTTGGTACAAATGATAAAATCAGCTACAAATTCATGATAAAATCAGTTAGAAATTCAACTTCAACCACATTCACAATTTCATATATTTGCACAATTTTAACATAACATAATTCACAGTTAGCATATCAAATCAAAAGTAAAATAATGAAGATCTCAGATCAAGATCAAACCTTTGTATTAGCTTGAAATTTAAGTTATATGAAGTAACTTGCATTAAAACATAAATCAAGCAAACCTCGAGAAAGGGAAACATAGAGTAATAACACTTCCTCCTCATGCAAACCATTGCCTATCAATTCAACATAAGCCCATGTCCCTCCTCAACTTTCACCAAATAATTAAATAGTTAGCCCACGAAACTCTTCATATTTAATAAAAAATGATGCATGGTCTACTAAAAAATGACAGCAATCATCTCTAATACTAAGAAAATAAATGACTCTAATCATTTACATAATAAACAAATGATACTAATCAACAAAATGAAATCTTTAAAAGTGGGTACAATTAGAATTCATTACATCATATAGATACATAAATATATAAATAGATTGTTGGATCTATGAATGATATAGGAGTGATATAATTAATGCTTTGTGCCGTATCATATCCGGAAAGATGGTTATTTTCAGCAGTTACAACAAAAATAAGTAGCTAATATTAATTAATTCTTCAATATATTTCCTCTAACATGTTCTAAACCCATCACATTTTAAATAAAAATGAGAGAGGGTATAACTAATAACTAATAAATTAAAAATGAAAGAAAACTCATCATTTGGTTTGGAGTAATAATTTAAAGTTCCATCAGATTTTTTTTAACAGTTCAATTGGAAATAAAATAAATAGGTTAAAATGACAAAACCCACAAATCAAATAGACTGGTAAATAAAGTAATTTTTCTGGAACTAATAAATTTTCTCTGAACTGATTTGAAGTTTTTTTACTCTTTCCTAATCATAATATAGTCTTTGATCATATTCTTTTGAGTTATAATTGCATCAAAATGAACAAATTGAATATCAAAAATTACTAACATCAGTTCTTAAAGTCCCAAAAACGGATTTTTTTTACTTTAATCATTAAGCTTAAAACATTTTCCAACATTCTCCCAATAAATTCATTTTTAACAAAAGAGAGAAGGAAAACACTTACAGAATATGACAGTGACAGTTTCATCTCCCACCAAAATTGGATCAAAATCTGCACAAAATTGGATCAAAATCTGCAAAATTCCAAAAATGGGTCGTTCAGGGAATTCACCAAACACTGAGATGGAAAAATAGCGACGAAACCCAACTCATAGCGACGTGTCTGTCGCAGCGAATGCGGAAGGATGAGCAAGGAGAGAAGAGGGTTGAGCTCGTCGTTTCCTCCTCCTCCGTTGCTCGGGCGCTGAGTCCTCGAGCTCCTCCTCGCTTCATCTCCTCATCCTCGGCTCGATTGGGGAGGCGAGAGAGCGAACAGCTGGGGATTTCGAGAGAGGGGGGAGAGCGAGCAGCTGGAGGAACTTAGGGTTAGGGCTTCTGGCCTTGGAATCCTCTGGCAAAGCGGCGAGGATGCCAAAGTTGCGCTCCCGATGGAACGGCGAGAGCGGCGATCTGCTCGTGCTGGAGTTAGGCTAGGGTTTAGAGGGGAATGGTGGTGGATAGAGGTGATAGGGCTTGAGCTTGGGCTAGGGTTAGGGTTAGGGTTGGATCTGTGTCGGTTGAGAAGATGTCGAGCTCGAAGATGGCGCCACCGCCGGAGAAGGCGGCGGAGGGAGGGGAGGAGGATAGGAGACAGCGGAATCAATACGGAAGAGGGGGGAGCTCATATGGAGCGAGGGGTTTTTTTTTTTTTTTTTTTTTTGCTTTTTTTTGTCTCTGGATCGGGGTGAGAAGTCTGAGAAGGGGGTTTTGAATTTTGAAAACTGATTGTATATCTATGCAAATGGGAGGGGAGAGAATTACTGTTCAATTTACTGTAGCGTGAACAGTAATTCTCTGATCCTCCTATTTGTATAGAAGAATAGATATGTTTACTTATGGCAGTCGTTGTCATGTCATACAATATAAAATATCACGTTTTATCCATTTAGAAGCTTGCCGTTCTCTCAATATGTTCACTGATAATTTCAATATATATATAGTTGTGGGATTATTTTGGAGCCCTTGTCAAGGTTGATTTAGTTGATCCTTTCAAAGGCTTTTGAGGATCAATGACCAACACCACTTTAACCATATTATTGTCTAATTTCTAAGAAGGAAGAACCTTAAAAAATTACGTAAACTATATGTTAATTAGTAAATTGTGTACCATATAAGTAGAAGTTACAAACATGTAAAAATAATAATTGTATGTGACATAACAATCATGAGAGATATATGTGAGAGAGTACGATTATTTACAGACAGAGTTTCTGGATATTATATTTGAAAAAGTGGTGGGGACTGATACGTCCACCTCGCCGCGAAAGCGAATCACCTGAGAGAAAGTCCTGCCTTTTGTTTTCACAAAACATAAGTCAATCTCAATGTTCCCATTTTGATAACGATAACAAGAATAGAAGTGAGTATCTCAGCAAGATGAGATATACAATCTTCCCAATATCAGATCTAGGTCTGAATATCGAGGGAAACAACAAACACAAGCAATAGCCAATACAATAAGTGAGACACAATATTTACGTTCGGCAAACTTGTCTATGTCCACGAGGAGGGGTGAAGGGAGATTCCACTATGATGGAGAACACCGACGACTTAAGGGGCTATCTCTTTGCAATGTAAATTTTTATTTTTCTCTTTTATTTTATTATTTTAGAATTATATGTTTTAGGATTTTATGCCTTGTTTTTATTTCATGTTTTGTAGTATGGATTTATTGCTTTATAGTGTAGATTTTTAATACATTGTACCGATAAAAGGAAAAAGTAGCGAAAAAGAAGAAGAAGAGAAGAAGAAGGCATGGAAACACATATTCTCGATTCGAACGGTCTACTTCCACAACTTCTCGCGATTCGATGGTAGTATAGATTTATTTTCTTGCTCTTTTGTTTCATGTTTTCTAGTGTAAATTATTTTATTTCTTTCTGTTCTTGCTTTAGCATTATTTATTTATTTTCGTTTTATACTTTATAGTTATAGATTTTAATTTCTTACTTTTAATTCCTAGTACGAGTAGCTAATTTCTTTAGGATTTCAAGGATTAGATGAAACTAGTTTAATTTCCATTTAGTTTTTGAATTGCTCTCTTTGTGTTTAAAATTTGATCATGCTTAGGATAATCAATTAGAGAACTAATTGATAGAAAAAGAATTTGATAAGCTATACTTATCTTAAATAGTTTGATAGTTTATACTTTTTTAGTTTTAGAGTTATTATCTAGTTTTTATTGCTTTTCATGAATGATACTATTGCTTGAATATGTTTCGATAGGTTATACTTA